TTCATAGAACATCTGTCTGTAGAAAGGTTTGTGACTGATCCATCTGTATAGAATATAAAGTTGGTAAATCTTTTGTTGGAGTCTGCAATTTAATAGAGGATGAGTTGATTTGGAATAAGTTAAAAATAGGGGTACTGGTAAGTTTGATAGTAGGAGGTGGAGAGATTATTAAGGGATTACGTAGTGCAATAGTGTAAATCAGATCTAAGTAGTTTGCATGTAAGTTTAGTTTGTTTGTATTGTTATATCTTTTCCGGCCAAGAAATTTTGTTGCGGAATTAGCTGGGATGTCAAATGTACAGTGATTTTGAATTCTGTTAGTGTTATATATACATCTTGTACATGGTAGTGATGGCAAATTAGAGATCATTTGCCTTTTTTTCAAATGACCTAAGTTATTTCAGGCTAAAATTTATAATAAAATTGGGGTCATTTGAGGTTATTTGAGGTCATTTGAAGGTCATTTGAAGGTTATTTGCCATCACTGGTATATGAAGCATAGTTAATAGTTGGAGTTGGGTATAAACTTGTGTGTGAGAGATCGTATTCTACTGACAATGTGTAATTGAAATAGTGTCTTCATTGGTGTTGTATCTCCGTGCCTTTCTTATAATTATTTCTTCATGGTTATGATCAAAAGTAATTAGCCATGGTTTAGATTTTGAGTTGTAGTGGCCCATTGTAAATGATAGAGAGTTGGAGGTGGGGAGATTAAGATTGGGATTAATTTTTCTTGTAAGATTGTTTGTTATAATTTTGTTTTCTAAAGTGGTAAACTACTTGGGTTTGCATCCAGTAGGAATTTGATTAAGTCTGGATGAAATGTGTATTCAGTTTAGAAGTGTAGAGTTGTCAAATAATGTGAGTTGCTCTAAGTATAGAATATATTTGATTTGTAATTGTTTTTTGAGGTTGTTGTATTCAGGATGTGTGTTGAGAAGAGTTTCAATTAGTGTGTATAGGTATTGCAGTATATAAGGTTGTATAATAAATGCAGAAATTGTAAGTTGAGTGTGTCTAAGAAGTTGAATAATCTGAAAGGTTGTTGTGTATTTATTAGCGCCATCTATA